TAAAATGAAAAAACTAATAAAAATAATAAAAATACTGTATTATTAATAAATTCGATATCAATTTGAAAACTACCGCTTTTTTAATTTCTAAAAAGAGTAGAAAAAGTCGGTTTTTATAGGCAGTAGCATTTTAAGCATTATATGCATATATAATATATGTACTAGTATTAGTCTACGAGTGATAATATCTGCAAGGACGAGGAGCGCAAAAAAGACAGGAAGATTTGTGGAAGTTTTCAGCTTTTCTTTATCAGCACCTCTCATTGCGATGTTAAGAAAATAGTTTCTCGAATCGCGAGACCACCCTCATCGTTTGCGACATAAATATCGCACCGATTATTCGGCAATATCCGGAGCGCATTCGTCGTACTCCGAAATCGTAAAACTCATCGAGTCAATGAAAATCCCAGAATAAGTTCTTTTGCAACCGCTGATTCATTTTTCAAAAGCACATTTTCTCCCTGTCAAATTTATTTTAATTTTATACTTATCATCTTGTATAAGCAACAATTTAATTATATTATGTTTCTCTTAGACAAACTTTGTATATTTAAGTCTTACATTAATTTTTCAAAAAAAGTAATTCTTTAATCTATCGAGAGATGATATCTTAAATATTTGATAAAATGTTCAAGCAATTTTATTGTTAAAAAATAAATAATTAATTCAAGGGCAAGTTTTTATGTTAATTAATCTTGCATAAATGTGATTAAAGTACATATATAATAAATAGATTTTATGATAAAATACTAAGAAAGAATCGCAGAAAACGCAAAAAAAATTTGTTCATTGACATGATATGGGATCGAAAATGCAAACATAATTGTTATATACAATCATTAAGAATAATATGTATGATATTAATTTTTCAAAATTGTTCAACTGATGAGAATCTTTACATTTACTAGTAAAAGAACTATACATACGTGACAGCAGAGGTAAAAAATTTTAAAACAACTTATAGTAAGGAGACAGTTATTGAAGACGAAGAAAATCTCATTGATATTCCTGCGGCAGGATAGATATATGAATTGAAAAGAGGAAATAATGTAATATTAAATTTGCGAAATCTTAATCTTACGAGAATTCAAGATATATAGCCTTCTCTGTTCGATATATTATGCATGGATACATTTTTATTATTTTATTATTTTACTTTTTGTGCGCAACACGACATTTAAAAAATTTGCCTTATATCTTTTATATCTTATATATCTTTCAAATGTTGCGTAAAATAACTTATTATAAAATGATAGGGCGTAACACGCGATCAATGCGACCGGCAAATCTGAGTTCACAGGTGAAAAAAATTTTCTTTGTGAAAAATACAGGGTGCAATTGGCTTCGAGAGGCACCAACTAGACTTCTTTTCTTATAGTTTGACAAATCGCGCCATGATCAAAGACCTGCTAGATTTACTGCACTTGTTGCTATTCGAGAATCCCACCTTTCTATCTAATAATGGCCGAAACGCCATTTTCTTCGACGAGCTTAGAGTGGAAGCTGTTATCATCGAGTATCTGGAGAACGAATATCATACAGATCATTTTATTATTATTATTTTAATTTCTTTCTCGTAGAGTCTTTCGAATTAATTTTTATTATAATTATTATCGTGCTCTGTTAATTTATGATTAATTTACTGCATTCTTTTATGAAAATATTTGTTCAGCGATTCAATCGACAATATATGTCTTCTCTTCATAAACATAAAATATCTATCACGTACGTCAAATTATTATACAATGTATATAAATATCATAAAAAACACCTTTTCTATGAAAAGGTGACAAAAGTAAATATACCAATATAATAAGTAAATATAAAAATTGACAAAAAATAATACTTGTACATAGAATCAAGTGCTATGTACGCATCAAAAACGATCGAAAGGATAAATTTAGATAATTCTATAGAAATCAAATAGAAATGCCATACAAAGAAACCATATGTGTAAATACATCTACACAAGAAGGCATATGTGTAAGTGCACCTACACAATAAGGCATATGTGTAAGTACATCTACATAATAAGGAATTTCCATATGTGGAAAAGAGAAAAGAAATCGGACATATGTGGAAAAGAAAAGAAATCAGACATATGTGGAAAAGAAACGTTAAATTTACGATAGGAAATAAAAATCAAATTTTTTCATAAATATTCTAAATATTAAGAATATAAAAATTTATTTGTATTCTTGAAAATCGAGTTACAAATGTAATTTTTATATATATATTTCTTCTCTTCTAATCCTTTCTCAAAATAACACTTTTCTTTTTTATATCATAATGCTATGTTGAAAAAATTGTGGTAAAAATTAAAAAAAGATTCTATAAAATAACATATTATTATATATATTATTTTTATGCATTGATGTATGGAGGAATTAAATCAATATGAAATAGACCTGTCCATTCTTTTGTTTCAGAATTATTATTTCTAATTATTTGCATTTCACTGGATTTCACCATATTGGATCGTCAATGGGATTATCTGTCCAGTTAATCCTATTATTCAAAATTACATGTTAGCTTTGTTAGCTTTATAAAATAGCGGCATGAGCGATTATGAATAGAAATAAAAATCCTTTGTTATTAAACCAGGCTTAAGAAAACAGATAAAAAATAGATTACAAAAATAATTTTTCACAATGCAAGTTGTTTCTATTAATAACCAATGTAAACATATAGACGCGTTAATTTGTGACACGTATTTTACGGCCAAGTTTATCCTTTCGTGATGTTCATTCTTTTATGACATTATCTTAAGATGATAGTTATGGCCATTCAGCAGATATTAGTAAAACCAGATGCGAAACCAGAGAGAAAATTGCACAATGAAGGTGTTTCTCATTATGAAATGCTTATTGATATATTAGAGGCGGGAAGCGTACGCACTCCGATCATGAGTTTTCCTGAATTGTGTCCCCGACGATAATTCATCGGTACGCCTGTTTACTTTGTCGCATCCGCTGACTGAAACACCTTGACTTTTTTACGTCACATTTCCGACGCCGAAGAGTACCGACAAGGTCGCTTTAACCTGCAACAGTCCACAACGCCAAGATACAAGCGCTGCTCTCGACGATTAAACTTGCACGCCGGCACGCGCAATTACAGCCACGTTAATATCGTTAAACGGCGCGTACCCGGGATGATATCGCGCGCAAACGTGGCCGCCAAGAGAATCGGCGAATGTCAGTATTCTACTTTGAAGGTTTGATGAGTGACCAAGTGGATCGAGGGTCACGATTTTTCGACGCTCTTGTCCTTCAATGCGCCATGTCAATCTCGCGAATTGTCAAATTTCTCAAATTGTTTCTTGATGATCTAAATGATAAAGCTTAAAGTCCTGAAAAAAACAAAACGATCACGCTACAAGATTTAGACAAAAATTAATTATAATTAATATAATTAATTAATATAATTAATTATAATTATAAAGATCAAAAAATTTGATTTAACAAGAAATTTGGAAAATTATAGAAGATTATTATAGAAAATTATAGAGCATTTCGCGAATTGTCAAATTTCTCAAATCGTTTCTTTAAATGATAATAAAGCTTAAAGTCCTTAAAAAACAAAACGATCACAAGATTAAAACAAAAACTAATTAATTATAATTATAATTATAAAGATTGAAAAATTTGATCTAATACGAAATTTGGAAAATTATAGAAGATAAATTTCGCGAGCTGTCAGATTTCTCAAATCATTTCCTCGAATCATAATAAAGCTTAAAGTCCTGAGAAAACAAAACGATCATGCCACAAGATAAGACAAAAATAAAAAATTAATTATAATTATAAAGATCGAAAAATTTGGAAAATTAGAAGATATGTTTCGCGCGCTGTCAGATTTCTCTTCATTTCCTCGATAATAAAGCTTAGTCCTGCCCTGAGAAAATGATTACGCCAAGATTGACGTGAAAACTAATTAATGACGGAAAAATTTGATCCGAGAAGAAATTTGGAAAATTACAGAATGATGCGTTTCGCTAGAAAGTCAGAAAGCCAGCGCAACTTTACCTCTTTGATCAGCATTGGGTATTATTTTGGTATTTGACCGCGTTATTTATCAGCCTGCCTATTGGTGATCTGATTTTCGATTGGACCATCGCCAGGACGCAACTTACGGCCGTCTTGATTCCCGGAACGCGGACAAACGGTGAATATTCATCCGCTAATACCGCGATATGACGATTGAGTTGTTTAAACAAAGCCACTGGGATAAGACCAAATGTCTTACGTTAGGATAAATATCATAAATTCAAGCTACAATTATATATAGTGCGCGGATAATGTAATGTTCACTTTTCTTGTCACCCTGTCTCGATCACCCGAAATAGTCTTTAATCGATCGATCCTCGTGATCGAGATGCATGAAAACGGCGAACAAAGACGGCCTCGTTCCCTCTAAGCCACCCTCGTAACCGAAAGGCGTGGCGCGACGTCGAACGAAATTCTAAATCACGGGCGAAAGACGCGAGGGAAGCGAGCGAGAAAGTTGGAAACGCGGAATTTATAGACATTCTCAAAAGAGCTTTCGTCCGTCACAACAAACACGTTGCGGTGTATTTAACACGGCCATCCATCAGGCGCCATCATCCTCGGCAAACGATCGAGCGCCGCCGCATCAATTTATATCGTTATTTATTTAATTTGCACGCAACAATGTCAGCTCTCGAGTAGTATATTTTATAATTATACACGGATATTTTATTATTACAAATTTATAATTATTAGGGACATGATTGATACATAATTATTAAGTCCAAGAAAAGAAAAAGATAATAATTGCTTCTAGTTTTCTGTTTCGCGATATTTTCGATTGATACACTTCTATTCGCGACATATATATATGATAAAATTAGTGATCTTTATTATTATTTTATCGTTTTTATTATATATTGTCTATGCGGTTTATGCACATTGTCAAATTTGATGCAAGGAAATATTTATAAAATATCGTACCGTTTCTTTTTATTATAAACTACTCACAGTATTTCTGTTCCTCCCTCCTGTTGACTCCTTTCTCACTCGGGAATGTACTTTTTACGTTGCTGTGCGGGCTCCCTTATTTTTGGCCACGTCGTAACTCTCATCTCACTGATTTTTCATCCTCGCTCAGCTTCCGAATTGCAGGAGCTTGAAAAATGTCGATACGTCACTTTTCCAACCCGGCATTTCATGATGATTAAATGTAGACTCGCGTAAACTTGATAAAAACAGATCACACACATAATCACACATTTATCAATATCTTTTGATAATTTTATCCTCTTTATTAAATAATACACAATTTTGTAGTCTCATTTATTAAAAATAATTGCAAAAAGTGACATTAAGTGTACAGGAATTAACTTTTTCTTCCTTTATTTTTTATTCTTAGATAATTTAACAATAATTTTTCTTTTACACAAATAAGAGCAATTTTGATGAAAACTGCGCTTCTATTTTTTTCTATGATTTTGTGCAAGCATCTTAGTGTAATACTGGATATAAGAGTATTACAAGTATGTATCTAAAACAAGAATTTAATACAAATAAATGAGACGACAAAATTCTTCTAAATTTTAAAAAAGATACGTCGATATTACTTCGCGATCAACAACAATTTACGGAAATTCTTTTAGAAATAATTAATGTCTCCATTCAATATTCCCGCAATCGCGCGATAATCTTCATCGCTTCATCGCAGACAACTCTTTCGTTTCTCTTCGTTGCTTCCCCTCTTTCTCCCCGTCACTTGATCTATTTCATACATATATATACACAAACACACGCACACAAAATATATGTACACACACACACACATATACATGTACATATTTTCAATCTCTATGTATTTCTCCTCTTTCCATAGGTGGGGACAAAGTGATAATCGGGACCAGTCACACTCGTCGTCGGAGGCGGGGTTCCTCCGGCACGAGGAGCCTTCTTACCGGGAGCTTTCTTCGTCAGACGAGTAGTAACATTCAGAGAGGAGAGAGAACGAAGCCCACGCCGCCAACGGCGATTGCGACGTAAACGGAGTTTCCGGACATTCGTAAGATCGTGCGAATCCATTTTTTTTTTTCATGTCGATTCTCCCCGAGATAAAAACAAGAAACTCGAAATACTCCGCGTCGCCCTGTATATATTCGAGAGCAGAGTGATCCATCCCGTTGATTCGAGAGTGCAAATATGGGCCGGTACGTAATTCACGTATTGACGTAGCGGTGGATGGGCGGATGGTGGCTGTTGACCAAGGAAGCCTGTATCGCCGCGTATGTCCGGCGACGTGTCGGATGATAGAGAAACGTCGCGTCACCCGCATCGTGTCGAGTCGTCGTCCCTCGATGTGCTAAGGCAGCGTCGAGCGAGGAGATGCGAGGAGCCGCAGCAGCACCGCAACCGGCACCGGCGCCCACGCCGACACTACAGCAGACGCCCCAGTGCATACCGATCCAGAGCAATTATTACACGCTGCGAAACGGTGGCAATGACAATGCCAGCGTCGCGGCGCACGGCAGCGATGGCTGCAATTCCGCCAGTAACTCGCCGGTGGCGTGTTACGAGAGTTTCACGCCGTCCGCGACTCATCTGATGGACCTCAGCGGCCCGGCGCCGGAGCAACATCGGAGTAACCTCCTGTCGTCCGATTATCATCATCAAGTCACGGTCGGCTACAGTTTCCCGCACGTCTATAAGAACCTCGAAGACTCGAGGTACCATCATCACGACGTGTATTCGCCCGGCGGCTGCGGAGCCGAGGAAATGGTCGCTCCTGGTTCCGTCCAGTCGATTCAGAGCCAATCCTTCCATCCTGTGGATGGGGGAGTTCCCGTAGTGGAATACAAGGCGGAGGTAATCGAGTACAAGCCCGAGGTGATCGATTACAAGCCCGAGAGAGGTATGGTCGATCATATCCCGAGGTACTGCAAGCAGACCTCGGAACTCGGTCATGGGACGGAGCCTTCGTCGTCGACGAGAAGCTACGGTGCCGCGGACGGCAGGCCGGCTGTCAGGAAGAAGAGAAAGCTCAGCGGCACTAGCAACAACGAGTCCGAGGGCGAGACTACGATGGCGGCCTCCTCGACGAGGACGAAGATACGTCGTAAGAATGGCCAGAGCGACGAGGAGACTCAGAGTCAAAGAGCAATGGCGAACGTCCGTGAACGTCAGAGAACGCAGAGTCTCAACGAGGCGTTCGCCGCGCTCAGGAGGATCATACCTACTCTTCCCAGCGACAAGCTTAGCAAGATTCAGACTCTCAAGCTAGCCGCTAGGTACATCGACTTCCTGTTCCACGTGCTCAAGTATAGCACCGATAACAGCGAAAACGCTGAAAACATAGGTAATTTCGAGATTAGCATATTGGTACGGTTACCTCAACGAGCGTAATGTTTATGTGGTGATACGTACGAGGTCACACGTTCGTAAGAATGCATGCTCGGTGGTATCTCAGGGAATAGAGATCTACACACTGAAGATAAAATGTGTACGAACATAGGTCGTATACCTCCTAAAGCCCGAGACGCGTTCGTCTTTCGCTCCGAAATACCTTGCAAGCATGCTTCGATCCAATGTTTACAAATAATTTCGCTATTTCTGAAGCAAAACCATTCTCACGCGCCAGTCGGGCCAGTGAGCTCTCGGCCAAATCCGCTCCAGCCCTTCATAATTCAGAAAATATGTACACACGACCTGTGTTTATGCAACATTCTTTACAGTCGAACTTTCGTATTCCTAACATCTTTCTTCTTCGCCCATTCTGCGCTTCTTTCTCTATTACTTTGTGCGTTTTGTGTATCTTGTGTCGTCGTGTGCGCATGACATTATCTGGAATCAGATGGAAAAAGAAGTATAAGGGATTGTTCGGTGTTTCGATATATATTAAGAATACGTAGGCTCGACTGTAGTTATTTTAGTGTGTATAATGTGAGTAACCATCTTGCAGCAAAGGGATGCTGCAAGCTTACGGTACCAACTGCACATTATTTGGAGAGACGCTCGAGGATTGTCTCCGTCGGCACCTCTTCCGTAGAGCGGTAGGTACGTGTTTACACCAGTGAGCTGGGGGTGACCCTGGCTTGTTTACAGTGCAGCCTAATTAAACAGACTCCCGCCTGCGGATTCCTGTAATTTACACGCTACGGACGAGCCTCAGTAGAGCACTTACGTTGTGTAAGTGTTTTCGAAGGCGCTCGCTCTTCATATCGCGCGTCTTGCTGCCTATGTTTTCATTGTTTTCATAATAGTTGTAATCAGTCATAAGTAGCCGTGTAAAGAGAGATTTTAATATGCGATATTTAAGATAACAAACAATAAACTAAAATAATAAACGATACGCAGCTCGCGCGCGATATATATTTTGTTATTATGTCTTCTAAAGTTAAACGATTGAAACTTGACCGATGTGTAAGATAATTTTATAAGTAGAAAAAAAAATAAATACTATATAAACATTGACTCAAGAAAATAATTTATTAAAAGGTATAATAAAAATATTAAACGCGACAATAATAGCAGATTCGCTGTTGATGTATAACAATAAGTTTAAAAATAAGTCAGCGGTATATTATAATATAATTTATTTATATGTGCTAGCTGTGCTTTTTATTCCAACTCAATTTTTACTTATGTGAAAATAAAAGTGTATCATATAAAAGTCTAATAAATTGTGATCAAATTTGACAACATGACAAAACTCATCGAGATTAATTTTGCTAAAGTAAGATAGATATGAAATGCATAGAATATTAAATTAAATATTTGTAATATCGCAAGCTTGTCTCCAAGATGGAAAGAATCGCATTTTAAAATTAAGCCAATTATAATGTAAAATATTTTTGACTCAATGTTTATATAAAATTCTTTAAAACGAAAGAAGAATAAACTCTCTTAAAATTCTGCGATAAGATTCATTACCAATCCTGTGGAGTACAGATCTATAAATCATTCAATTCATTCTTATCTCAATCGGGGAATGACATAAATCATCCGGTACACGTCAAATAGCTCAACGATGCATCTGTAACTCTGATTAACGATATCGGGACATTAACTGCTTCGAAACAGTGTCGATTGGGTCGTTGTGTTCCCGGCTTTTGCGACGAGTTTCGCGAGACGGAAATACGTACCGCTCATTTCTTTTATTCGATCCGGTGCCTCGGGATATCTCGCTTCCCTTTTATTTTGAAACTCGCGCAGAATTATCGTATAATATCTCTCTGCAACTTCTTCTCTTCAATTTCTTCGCTGGCTCTTCTTCTCAATCTTCGCCCTCGTATCTCTTTGTCGAAATAAAGACCGGGGTTTCCTGAAAAAATAATATAAAAGAATTTAGAGATTTAAGAAATTTAAAAATTCTGTAACAAAGGCCGATTTATTTTCATTTATAAGTGCTGATCAGTTTTTACATAATTTTTATAAAATTATAACAACCTCCAATTTTTTTATTCACCTCGATAGCCTCCTCGGCATTTCAGGTGTGTGAAAAGATTCGATGTACTATTTAATACGTTACTTTTCTTTTAACAATTTACAGGAGAAAAATATTGTATATACACGATTGTTTACATTACATTAGATGATAACGAGGCGCTGATAAAAATATCTGTTTCAGGAGAGAGGAGCGCCAGAAGTGCGATTTTGGCCGCGAGGGAAATCGCATCGTCGCCCAGTACTTTTATGGCGCATGAAAGATTATCCTACGCTTTCAGCGTTTGGCGGATGGAAGGCGATTGGAGTTCGAGTTTGTAAAATAAGTGGCCGTTAGGATAACATATTACATTAGAGTTCAATAAGGTAAGATCGCGAGAAAATTGCGAGACATTCGTAAATTTAATGTACGCCGCAAGAATGTCTGTTTCATCGAAAAAATAAAAGCTATAGATAATTAGAGTACAAATATTATATGATAATTTTTTTTTAAATAAAAGAGATATTAGAGTTAATTAGAGAAGAAAAGAGGAAGTGAATTAGACACTCCTGCGGCTTTGCTACGTACGTAATGTTACTCTCGTCGGTCCTTTCGGAAACTATTTTTTTATATGGAAATAAATAAATTATTATATATATATATATATATAGAATTGCGATCTCACTCACGTACGAAATAATAACGTTCTCTTCCGGCTCGCTTTGAAATCTAAAATCGTGGCAGTTAATTCTGTCCCCGTTAATTCGCGGCACCGCCCGGCCGCTCGCTCACGTTCTCGCAATAATGCAAGCCAATCATTTACGTCTTCTCATCGGACTATTAACAGCGAGACAACTCCTCGTGTACCGCATCGCATCGCTGCAAAGCGTGCTTATTAACCGACGTCGCGTCACGCACCTGCATCAATCAACGAAATTATCTCTTCGCGAGCCCGACAACGATCGTGACATGATGGATCTTTGTCCCCGCTTGCGTGGATTTAAATTAGAGTGAAAACAACCGGTGTTGTTGCGCGGGAAAATGAAGATATATATATTTTTTTCCCCGGCTTTTTCGACAAAAAATGTATATATTTCGTTTCTTTATAATACGCGGGGTATATCTCGATAACAATAAAATACGACGGGTAATCGATTATTGCTGGGAGATTCCCTCACTCGCGTTTCTAATCTTCTTTTTGGCTACCTTTCGAAAGCGCGTCTTGCACCCCGTTAACGCCAAATTTACGAGCGTTTACCCGGTCTGTCCAAACAATCTTTTTGCATAGTTGATTTATTGAATCTTACAAGCTTCGCTAAACTTCCCTTCGAAGCGTTCATCGCGAACTTGTATCGATAAACTGTAAATTCCATTGTCTCTTAACGTAACTTGAATATTTTATATACATGCATATATATGCATGTATATCTGTGTATAAAAATTGTATTAATATCAAACTTTACTCAAAGTTATACTTAAATTATTACAAGATAATCCGGGGAAAATGCAAATGTGTATTTTGCAAGGCATTTCAATTTTGCGTATACCAAATATAAGATAAACTCCTGAAAACTTATCTCATATATTATATATTATTTGACATAGTTGATCTTCTGTTAAAATATTCGAGCTAATTTCGAATTCGACATCCTTAAGTGGATTTTTATCGCGTGAAGTTTCAACTTATACAGTTTACTATACTATTAGTAATTTTTGTAAATGATTAATTCGTCGCTCGTTTACAATATACTTTACCCCAGGAATAAAGAGGACGATCGCGCGTCCGGCCGGATTTGATAATCGCCGGATTCGAGATCGTCTTAAAGAAACAGTAAAGAGGGGAAGAAGTTAACGAGTACTTTGGCGCCCATCAGTCGGGCACAATATTATTTTTTTTCTCTCCTAAGATGATAGAATCGCCCCGACGGACCCCATCGTCGGCTTCTTCATCGCGTATCGTATAATATAAAATATCCGTCGCGACTTCGGTACTCACGGCACCGGCACCGTGAATATTCCGAATGACGTTAGTTATTTTAAACCGGTCAAAGCAAACTCTTTCGGCCGCGTTTTTGAGCCGCTTAACGAAGACGCGCCGCGTTAAAGAATCGCTCTCCGACTCTTTATTACAGCACTGAATCTTGGCGGGAAGGAGAAAAAAAAAACGCGGCCGACGAGTGCAATTTCGGCGCAATAGAAACAATAAAAATCTCTATTTTTCTACCTTAAAATCATCGGGATCGAGCTATTTCTCTATTCTTCCCTCAATCTTTTATTTTAATGATATATACGCAAGATGGAATATCGCCTTCGCGCATTTCTTATTTAGTTTCTCGCTCTATATGTGATCAAACATGACAAATGTGTAGTGGGAGAGTAGATATATATCAGAATTTGAATTTACAAAAATAGATGAAGAAATTATAAAGTGCGATGTGATAATCTGTCATTGATGTTCTTAATCATGTAAAACACATTAATATTTGCTAATAAATGTATTCTTTGAAATTCGATAAACACGTAAAGCTGCTTGTAAACTTAATAAAAATTATAAAAGCACGTGAATGTAAAATAAATTACAAATTAAAATATAACAATCTCATAGTTATTATTTACATCAGCCATATTTATATTAAAAGATAAAAATACACAAAGTACGGAATTAGTTTAAAAGGAATAGAATGTTTTTTCGTCAAGCGAAAAATAATTTACACTAATATACGAATACATATCGAATATATATCGAACAATCGTCGACGCGTTTTTGATAGTTAAATTTTCTATTTTCATTTTGTTGAAAATGGCATCAGATAGATCTCTTTGCGGGAAAATTATTTTTGGGAATACCGGCAATTATATCAACGCGAGAGGAACGGGATGGGAGAAGAGGAAGAAGATGAGGGGCTCTTTTCGGATCGTCCTTGAACGAGTGTACGTCATTGCTCGGCTTCTTGTCTAGGCCTCCGCGAAACGAAGCAGCTGTCATGGTCATTCTCGACATCTTTCTTTTGCTACTGCCATCACGGATGCATAGAGTATCTCAAAAAAAGTCGGCGCTCTCGGTAAAACTGTTGGGAAAATCGCGATCGCGATCGTCAAAATAAATCGGTTTTAGGAGAGCGAAATTGTTTGAGAGACGTATGCAAACTTGGAATCTTAATTTTTCAACATTTGATTGTTAAAGTCGTAGTATCGTTTTTTACTTCGTGAATCAACAAGACAGACTCATATTAAAAATTATATTCATGAGACGAATTTTTCGCGATCGATTCAGATTTAAATCGGGTAGATGCATCAGACGCGGTCAACTTGGGGGCATCGAGTTTGTTTTTATAGAACGTCATACACATCGGGGAGACTTCCCGAAAAGGTCCTCCCGTCGGGAGACACCGAATGTTGGATGTGTCTTGGCTAATTGAATTCAAAGAGATTTATGGTCGCCACCAGCGCGTTACGCGACGAATAAAAACGACAGAAACACGCGCGCATTGAGCTTCTCCCGCTGTCGGGATTCCTTCTCTGGACTGTCGCCCCGGCCGAAACGTTGATAAATGTTTTTACCGGGCCAATTAACGTTAGTAGAACCGGCGGAGAGCTTCAGCTTATCGTTACCGGTGCTAATCGCGCGAATTTTAGGCGCGCCTGTTAGATCTCGGTTAATTGCACAAAAGCAAGAATGAGGCCGACTCGGAGATGTTAATAATAACTAATTGATATATCGATATTAATTTGTAATCACTTGTTTTATATTTACGTGCTCTTTTATATCTTCTGTCAAGTATGCACTTTTGCGTGCACTAAGCGTTCATGAAACTAATTATTTACGTTTCGATCTAGGCATTTTAAATATGTCTACAGTTGACGATGTAATAAATTGGCGCACTCTCTAATTCATAACACTTCATCATCTATCACAATTCGAAACATCAATAATATAGATTTTAACTTTTCAATAACAATAAAAAATATACATATATATATGTATTTAGAATTTAAAAATTTGTACAAAGTAAAAAAATTTACAAATCTGTTGTCAGCATCACACGATTTTTACGCTTCGAAAATAAATTAAATATTTTACATATTACTAGATAGCACGAAGGTATATACATGTAGAAAAATAATATTGCGAGTGCAACTTGCAGCAAGTGGCCGGATAATGCAATATTATTCCCATGCGAGCCTCGCGAGCGTGTTGTGTGTATCACAACTTAATATACACATGTATCTTTTTTTTTCATTTGTATATACTGTGTTACTATGTAACGATCGTAAATAGTATTCTGTAAATAGCAACATGATAGATTTTAACGGAGCTTTTGACGATGATATCTCGATATCCATTCCGTCGATTCGATGCTATTCAGATGCATTTTGCTTATTTATCCGAGCGCTCTCGCTCGCACATTTGTAATGTACAATATTTTTATACTCGATAAATGAGAAAAAAGATGGTGGAAAAAATATTCAAATATGTTTCTTTCTTTCCATCTCCCTTAAAATCAAGCCGTCGTACACCGCCCTATAAAAATATTAAGATGTTTTGATTGATTTTAATTAATTATATTGATATATTTAATTAATTAATTGTACTGATATATTCATTTAAAAAATTCACACGAGATTGTAGAAAAAAGGATACATTTGCGGTTACGCGTGAGAGAAAGAACGAGGGAAAAGAGAGGAAAAGAACTGGGAGGAAAAGACTCGATAAATAATTTATCAAACTATGTCCGAAAGACGGCGGCGGCCTTAATGGAATTAGACGTGCCAGTGCAAATATTATTGCAAGCAACGGACCCGAACAGAGACGCCCAACCTTGCTTCATTGGTCGAGAGCCATGTCATTGTGTTCTGCCTGGACCAATCGTGTAAGATCGGATGGGATGCTCTCTGGCTTTCCTCTCTCTCTTTCTCCTCGCTCTATCCTCGCATCAGAAGATGTTGAAGCGCGAGAACGAGAAATTGCAAGACGATTTTTTTTTAAACGTTTTGTTCTTTCTTGCCAACTCGACTATTTCATGTCATCGATATTTAAGTTATTTTTTGAAAATTAATTAGACTTCAATGACAAATCTATATTTTTCATACATATTTTGATACATTTCATAAATGTTTTCTCTCAAGATAAAACATTTGCCCTCTTTGCTTGGCACAAATTCAAACTATATTCTAAATTTTGATTTTTTACAAATCAGAGATATTTTTCCGATATCAGAAATATACATCTACATAATCAGTGGGAAAAATAATTGAAAAGATATATTAGATATAAACGTATGTGTGTTGGAGTTATTATATTTTATACTTACGTGTCAAAAATTGGTTGCAATTTGGAAAAATTTACGTCTCATTTTATTATCTTGATTAGCAGATCAGTGGATGAAGGTCAGGATTTGCACTCTAGCTGTAAAAAATATAAAACTGTGTTAAACAAAATTTGAATTTCAATGAAAGCAACTTACATCAATCATTATTGTACAGAGCATTACTAGCAAGATTATTACGTTAAGCGAATAACATCGGACGTATAAATTTGCGTTTTGTATCGTAACGACATATTAGACACACATGTGTATATGTAATGACAAGAGTACAAAAAGCAACGCAGCATACATAACAGTGACATTAAACATCGGAACTCGTAAAAGCTGCTCGCTCCGGTATAATCGGCGTCTGGAGCCGCTGGAAGGATTTCCATCGACTTCGCGAGTTCGTAAATAAAACGTCATGCACCGTGCGCGGTGGGTCGCTATGTTTAGTTTAGGCGCGGTTTCTCAGATTTCCAGGATCACCCCGTGAGAGAAAGTTAGACAGGCCTTCCATCACTGTTATGGCTCTGATCGCAACGCAACGCAACATGATCCTAATACCATTTTCACGAAAAAAAGAAATTCTTTTGATTTTTTGATAATATATTATAAAAAGAATATATTTATCTAATATAAAAAATATATAGTGAAAAAGCGATGGCAACATCGCGTGTTATAGCAGTTATTCCGATTATACATCTAATTAAATAATCACAATTCTAAAACGTCTAATTCTTGTTATTAATCCGGTGTAAAAAAATTGATTATAACTGCAATTTTTCGAATCTTTCGATCCCGTTTGATTTCTCGTAATTTATTTAAAATGCTCCATATCGTTAATCACAATTTTTATGCACGAAAAATAATTATCTTCGCATCGTGAGTGGAAGAGAGAAAGATGGATTCGATGAGAGAAAGAAATCGCGCGAAAAAAGTGCAACAGTTGAAGTTGTTGCCGAGACAAACATCTGTTCTCTGTCTTTTCCTATTAAATTACTTCAATTTCTGTCACTTCCTTCGTTTTCCTCAGGAATGATGAATCGGCCATCGTTAGTACCAATGGAAGCGTGTGCTTTTCCATCGTGTGTTGTGCTCCACTTGCATACATATATTTATATCTGAATAGAGGCAATCTCTCTCCCCTTCTTCTACGGTGATGGCGCGCTTATTCGTACGCCACGACGGGTTTTATGCCGGCAGTAAACCGTTCCGCGCCGGATTATGGCACTTTCCTACGATGAACGTGGGTAAATACTGTGCGGGGAACCACCGTGCCGGGATTCCAGTGCGAGTCCCGCGGTGATAGAGCGACCACGTGGATAGAGAGGCGTCGCCGTGGATAGAAATAGAAACGCGCAAAAATCCATCCAGTGAGGAAACTGATGGCCAGAGTATTCGCGTCTTGAGTAAACCATCATCGGAAGAGACTGTACAGAATAAGACAGTGATTAGTTTCTCTCATTGTCGTTCTAGAAAAATTATAATAAAATCATTACAATTTCTTACGTTATATATATATTAAGATTAAAGATCTTTAATTGCTAATGTATTATCATTTAGAAGATAGACTTATGTTGTACAAAACAATTCAAGTCATGCATTCTGACGATAACTGTTTAACTTTTCACGATTAATCGTCTCATTCTCGACATGACAAGACGCGTCTTGTTAAATTGACAAATCAGACCGTGCCGATTCTGGTCTCGATAAATCACTGTCGTGATACACAAGCGATACTTTTACTAGTCGACGAACAGGGCGTCACGCAACGTTTCTTCCTTTTCTCCTGAAAGTCGAACAAGTATCAGCATCGCGACATGAATGCGCAACGCGCCGCTGGCAGCTCATTAAGCCACGTAATGAGGTCGTCCCTACAGTTAATTATTTCGGAGACGGTTTTCGGGCTTTCATTCCTCTTCTCTTTCTGTCGTGAGACATCGTTTGGTCCCACCTACCCGGGGAACGAGGGCGTAAAACGATTCCACGAACCATTCCGGCCTGCGATTGACGACACTCTAAATCACCCTCGCGGGAGAGCCATTTCGTTCATTTCCGGTATCGAACGGATGCATAAAAGCTTGACATCTTTAGATTTCGATCGTGACAGAGCTGGAAATTCGCCGGGCACGATGTATGACGATGGTAAATCAAGTCATCTAAAGTTGCTTTTGTGAGAAAAATCTGAAACATTTCGATATAATTCAATTCTTGTCATATACATATTTCTAATTTGATAATATTCTGATATATGTTACATATTATTATATTATATTATTTCATTGTATTATATTATTTTCATAAAATAAGATTTAAAAATTGTACATAAAAACGCGAATCTTTAATATTTTCGAATATTAATTTTTCGACAGAAATAGCAATACATACATTTTCTGCCAAAAATTATTTCAAATATAAATAGCCATTCAATTTTAAGATATATAATTTATACAAAGCGTACGATATTATTATCACCTTCCTCTTGCCAAGGTAAATAACTTTGATTCATTTTCTCCTCATCGGCAGTTTTGAAGCCGATCGTTTCAATAAAAGTATATCAAATATATATCCTGTCGTGGACACGTGCATCTTATTTACGTAGGATTCCAAGCAAGACTGAAAGCGTCCTGGCGCCTCTTTCTTGATGATTTAAGACGTAGGGGCGGGCATTATGGACGCGGAAGGGTGTTGCTGGCAGGAGCAGGGTGGAGGGTGAGATTACAGATGCGGCTTCTCGATGGAAAAGCGGCTGCTTGCGACGCGACTTCCTTATTATTCCGTGGTCGGCTAAATTGCTGTTTGCTCCTTTTGCGGGATGTTTGCTCAGATTAAAACGGATTATATCAATGTGACGATGGGATAAAAAGCGACATCACGTCCGCGACATGTGGCCAGTTTGCCGTTGGTCTATATACAAGAAAAAATGACAGAAATTGAGATAAAAATAGACCTTGACATATGTTACGCAAAGTTTATGCGGTAAAATGAGAAAACAAAAATAAAAAATATAAATTTTAAAATAGAATACGAACGATTGAGAAATTTTCAAGTCTTACGTGTCCAGAAATTATCACAGGCTACGCTTTAAATTTAGAGAAAAATTATTAAATATTACAAACAGAGAAAATTGCAGATTTGTTAGTAAAAAGTACGATATAAAAATAAATACACTAATTATATAATAGCCATAATATAAACGTCGCAAGAGTTTAAATAAAATTAAGAGCTAATCAAAAGTTAACCAAAAGTTAATAATACATACGATCGCATATATAGCCGTGAGACTTTGAAAGAGTTAATATAAACACACAGTTACTAAGACGGAGAAAGAGAAAACTTTGCCGTGCTCCGATTTATCTGCGGTACGTAAGAAGGAATAAACACGACATCGACAAGAAGACGCGCGCTCGGTTCACAGGATATGTCCTTCCTCCCGAGCGCACTTGGACAACGAAGCATTCAACGCGCGGGATTTCCAACAGTTTACGAAATGGTAAATCGCACGCCACGATAAGAGAATGCTTGCTGTTCCTTTATTTGAATTCTCTTTCTTTCCCTCAAAGCGAGTTGCAATAATCTATCTCATTCTCTTTTGTTTCTTTAATCAAAATATATTTAATTTATACAAAATATATAAACGATTGATATTTTTTTTTGTTAATTATCAATAGATGTGATCGCTTTTTAATTGCAAAGAGAGAGAAAAAGAGAATCGCATGTTCTCACTTTCCGTTTATTTAAAATTCTTATCGCGATATTGTATACTTTACAATTAATCTTAAAATTACACAATACTACATTACATGAAATTTTTGCTTATAATACATAATGATCATTATGGAATAAATTCTTGTACAAAATCAAGGACTTTAATTGAACGTTGTATCGTTTTTATCCATTTCTTAATTTCCAATATATTTATGTAAATAATCAGAGATTTCATTATTTTTATTTGCACATTTATCTTTTAAATTTATAATTCAACAAATCTCTGCATAAAGTTCGAAAGCTATAAATATCTTAATATTGAAACAAACATCTCTATCTTATCTATGTAGTTTTTCGTAATAAATAAAATAGAGATATTGTTTGTTTTAATGTTAAGATATTTATAGCTTTCCATTAACTCTTTTGAAACACATATATCGTATTTCTTTAAATGTAAAATATATATAAAATATATATATATATATATAAATATATATATATATAATATATATATATATATATATATATATATAATATATATATAATATATATATATATATATATATATATATATAAAATATATGTATAATTACTAACATATATGAGCAAAATTGAGTGTTACATAAAGGAACGGATGTTGAATAAGTCTTCAATGAGACAATCTTGAAGTATTTTCTCAGGTAAGTAAACTATATTCCACATGCTTATGTGCTTAGCAATAGTAACATGTTATATTTACATTATTTTGTCGTAACTATATTATAATTACAATATCTACCATGTTTACACATACGATGGTAGAATATATATATAAGCATATACATTGTAATTGTTTCGTCACTGTTGGAGGATCACACATAATACAATTCAAAACTGTGGCTTGTAGAAATGAGTCATCGATAAATATACAAAAATGAGTTATAGTTTTACTTTCAATACAATTAAATTATAATTGAATATTTATCCAAAAGTTAAATATACAGAAAATTCTGTTCCTTCGTTCTCAATATCATTTAAATAATAATTGTGGAAGAGCATAAACTTTTCTGCATACATTGTAAACATTTTGTCAATTAAGGAAGAAAACATTGAAACATTTAAATGGAAGAAATTTATATGCAAAAAAGAAAAGAAAAAAAAAACAATCCTATGAGCTATTTAAATAATATATAAAGGAGAAATATATTAACCCTTTCGCTATAGCACATTTAAAAAACACTTGCTACGTATGCTACGAAAAAATTACTATTCTATATTAGTAGCTTATGAAATGTTCTATTATTTGCGATGCAAACAGCATTAACAACATTAGTAATTAAGTTAATTAAAAAAAAATTGACGCATCGAATCAAACATTTTGGAATAATAAATTGTTCTAAAATTTGCTTGTAATATTAAAAAAAAAAACTTGTCACATTAGTGTGTATCATATGTATAGATGTAAAGATACATATTATTGAATATTAAATTGTTTCACAATCAAATGTTTTAAATATTTCAGTGTTGTGCAAAAATAAATGTAATAAATTGATTATAGTACAGATATATGTTTTCCATAAATATATTTTTGTTTTTAAAAGGTATATATATATATATATATATGTATACATATACATACTATTCATAGCGAAAAGGTTAATCAAAAAAATTTTTTTAAAAGAAAGTCAAGATATGATAATGCAACAAGTTGTTCAATAAATTGATCTTTGTGTTATACCAAATTTAGATGGATGCATTAGTGCGCACTGCTCAACACTCAAAGGCTGTTGTATACAAATTTACACTTATAGCATAACTAAAATAAATAAAATTAATTTTTCGAGATATTATCGTTATTTGTCTTATTGAACGATATGTAATAATTTATATATAGTATTAATTTTTATTATTTTAATTATACTATTGTAAATGTATATACGATAATCTTTAATATGCAGCAATGTGCACTAATATGTACATTCGAATTTGCTATTAGTATTGAAACTATTTCTATGACGCGGTTTTTTGTTCTTATAATATCTATTTACAAAATAGACTTGTTTTTAACCAATGGAATAAGTCAAGTTACAAGCATAATCTAATTTAATTACATTTTTAAACTTACTCTTATTGGCACATTGTAGAGTGCAATAAATTTGTGCATTTCTATCCACGAGATTCTCTGTAATAGGGCTAGGCAGATGTATTGCATAAAATGCATATCTCTCTCTGGATATACTTTGACTCTAATTAATCTTGAAAATGTAGAAAATTCAATGAAAGCAAGGATATTGCAGCAAAGAAATTTAGTTCCTCTAATTATATTGCTAGAAGAGTGCAAATCTGATATAAAAAAGGTGGGAAGCCATTATGATTAAATTGTGTCATCTTTGTTATACATTTCTCTCAATTAAATTAAGAGAAATTACAAATTACCTCATTGATGAATAGCCAAATAGAATTCGCGGTTATAATACAGTTTATATCTTACAATCAACTTTGATATAAAAATCTATCAAACTATTCAGAGGTTTCACTGGCAAAAGTTTTCCAAACCGTGCAAAATCCAATGCACAGGTTCAAAAGGTAGATTATCAGGCAAATATGGGAGCCTAATATCTTCTTCTTATGTTTGTCACATTTTAAAATGTACGCTTATCATGGCTCTCATTTTGTGCTCGTTGTGACTTGAAATTTAAATTCTGATTTATTCCATAGCTATGCTCCTTAGCACATATTTCACTGTGTATGCAAATGCTGCAAAACCGATGATAACGACGAGATTGGCCAGTGCGCTATGTAATGGACTCTGCTCTCTCTGTAATTGATCTCGTATCAAGGAAGAGACCTCGGATGCAGTGGATTGATGCCTCGCTTGTTTCTCGAGCTCTCTTCGACGTTCTAGTTCAGTTTTAATCGCCTGTTATATTATCACACGCAATCTCATATTAGGTTTGAATATTTCAATTTCAGTAATAATGTTGACGTAATAGTCTATATACATAGTTTACAATATACAATAAAATACCTCAACAGTTTCTGGAAAAAGCTCACAAAACATCTTGTCCCTTAGATTATATTCTAAACTCTGCGCAGCTAGCTGCCTCTTTTCATAATCTGTTGTATTAATGCTACCAAGTGTGGGACTTTTCTCAATCTGTAAATATAATATTATTAAACAAAAAAGAATCACTTTTTAATAATATTCTTCACATTATTTTTAGATTCCTAGATACTTACCATAAAACTAAGCAAGCCTGTAAGGATAGTAGATACACTCCATGCTGGATTCCACGTATCGGGATGGAAGTCAGAAATTGATAGACATAATCTTGTATTGACTTTAAATCGACCATTTGGAGTAGTCATATAAATACTAGGTGGTTGGAATGGAAACTCGCCTGGAAATATAAGCTTTCCGTGATAGAATCCACCTTCGTATGGAGTTTTTTCTGGTCCTACAACCACATAGTGCCTAAAACAAGTAGTTGTGTATTAATCACTCTGTCTCGAAACCAACAGTTAATTCACAAATAGGATAACAATAAGACACTTGCCACTCTAATATATTCGAAGGCACGGGTTCTGCAAGGACGTACGGTACTGGATCCTTTTTGAGTCGCAAATAATCCTGTTTCAATCTAGCCGTTGCACTGTTGGTTTTTCTGTTCATCCTTACCATACAGCTCGATGTTACCTCCGAAAAGACGTTATCCGCCAGTTTCCTACACTCGTCGCGATATATTCGCCCAGTTTATCAAAATTCTTCACAGCTCGCGCTTAATCAGTTTCGCAATATTTACAAATCTGACGGTATATATTTTAGCAACTTAACTTTTTCGCTGTCTCAGCACCGTTGAATCGTGAAATGTTTGCGCATCGCAAACTTCACGTGGCATCTAGGACGATCTCTTGGCAGAGTTTCACGAAGTTGACGATAAAGTCAAGAGTCCGAAATTTTGCGAAATGTGAAATAGGTTACGTTGCGATGACGAGGATAAATATGCATCAAGGTGATCTTCGGAGTGGAAGATGTTGAACGAGAAATATATCTCGGTGGAATCATACAATCATCATTGGTAATTCACGGAATTTGACAGCTGCGAGCTGTCGCGCGATGATGGAAAACATATGACGAGTTCACCGGAATTCAATGAATTCGTCCGCTTGCGCGCAGGCATTGCTACGCTGGCGGGAAAATCTCTAATATTTCAAATAAATTTTTCAATCAAAAATCACTTTGCAATAAATCACAATAAATTACCTTTGTGCTTTTTTCGACAGAAAGAAAAATTATTAGTAAATACAGAGAGGGAGCGCAATTAAAAAGGAGGGATGATATTTTTGGGCCTTTAAACACTAATGTTTATGCAATGTGACACATCACATATAGGATACTTGGATCAAACTATAATTTAATTTAATAAATAATAAATTGTAGATCTATAATAAAATTTCTAATTGTATAATTTGTCATTTCTAATCTAATCTTTCCTTGTATATGTAAAATAATAAAAATCAACTATTCACATTAACAAATATATCACAGTTATTGTATTTCAGTAAAATATTTTTTTGTTCACGTATTTTATGCTTGAAAAAGAAGTATGATATAAATATCGATATTATTTTTATTTCATTTTTATAATATGTTTTTGTATATATAATGTAAAAAAGCTTACCAATTATTAATTATTAAACTACTAAATATTTAAAAAAAGATTAGTCCTTTGAATCTCTAATCAAATCTCTTTTCAAAATATTTTAATGATTAAATATAATCCAATTATATATTTTTGAAAAGATAAATGTAGGCAAATTTAATTATCAAGAAATTAAATAGTTCTAGAAGTTTTAAAAAATGTGGAAATAGGTTTCCAGTCATTGTTTAATTGCACAGATGTATTGATTTACTTAATATTCTTGATATTTAACTAATTGCTAATTATAAAAAGATACTACTTAAATTAAATATAAATGTTGCAAATAATTATTTTTTCACTACTGGCATATATAGCTTCATTGACATCTTCATTATTCTTTCATGTTGAAGACAGATACTCTTGTGTCATATACTTAAAAATTGTATATCAAATAAATTGGACGTACAATATTTTAAAATATTGTAACATACAAATGATTAGATATAATCAATAGATGTTTTATCTACATATGTTTGTTATAGGTAACTGTCAAACGTTTTATAATTTTAGTGCTGATTAAGCAGCATTGATGTATAAAAATGTGTATGATAATGGCAATAACTTACTTTATGTCTACAATTAATAATAAAAGATGTAATCTGTTTGTAATCTTTTAGAAGAGAACAGAACAGAATGAGAATCGATGTCTGGCAAAATATGAAAAGTAACTTCATTCATCTTGACTCATCAGGTCTCTTTCCTTTTCGACGTTCCAATTCAATTTTGATTGCCTATAACATTTGAATGAATAATAATAATAAATAATAAATAAATAATGCACCATAATTTATAAAAACAAATTCTCAATTATATATTCTGTGTTTATTCTATACAGTAACTAAAGTAATAAAGTAAAATGTTAAAGTACTGTTTATTCCATGATAAAGTAATACCTCAACAGTTTCTGGAAAAAGCTCACAAAACGTCTTGTCTTTGAGATTGTATTCTAAACTCTGCATAGCTAGCCGTTTCTTTTCATTATCTGTTGTATTTATGCTACCAAGTGTAGGAGTTTTTTCAATCTGAAATTATACAAAATCTTTATTTGATATAAGTTATATCTTTTAAATTCTTAATGTGGAAAGAAATTTATACCATAAAACTAAGTAAGCCAGTGAGAATAGTAGATACATTCCACGCTGGATTCCACGTTTCAGGATGATAATCAGAAATAGACAAGCACAGTCTTGCATTGATACAAAATCGGCCGTTTGGTGTGGACATATAAATGCTAGGCGGTTTAAATGGAAACTCTTCTGGAAATATTATTTTCCCATGATAATATCCACCTTCGTATGGAGTGCTTTCTGGTCCCTTAACTACATAATGCCTGAAACCAATGGAATTTATATTAAGTTACTCATGATAAAAATTATGTTTTTCTTTTAACCAAGTATCTCTTACCACTCTAAAAAATTGGCAGGCACTGGTTCCGCAAGAACATATGGTACTGGATCCATCTTAAGATGCAGATAATCTTGTTTCAATCTCAGCATCGCACTGTTGTTTTCTTTACTCATCTTGTATAGGACAGCCCAGTGTTATCTCCAAACAGACAATGCCCAGTTTCTTACACACACACTCGTCCTAGTATATATTCTTTGATCAGTGTATCAGCTGCGACAATCTCTCCGAGGTTTATCCGCTGCGAAATTAACGACAGTCATGGAAACGTTTCGACGGATACGAGGTTGACGTTGGATTCGAGATAAACGTTGCAGAGTGATATAGGTTATATCGGGATATGCGACGTGGATAAACATGCGATCGGAGATTGCAGTCAATCCAAGTCACGATTCGTAGCCGTTTGACTTGGAGGTGACACGAACGACGAAATAACGAAACGGATGATGCGCCTCGATGGAACGTAATCGTCGATGAGGCGAAACAGGGCGAAATTTGTCAGCGGCAAGCTGTCGCGCGGGAACGTAAAAAGCATGTCTCGATGAAGTCTGCCTGATTGGTCCAACATCCAACTACTCCAATGTAATGCTTTGATCATCTGTTGATGCCAAGTCGTTCTTACGTAACGCACGGCCAATCACGAGCTGCTGTCAGCTGTTCTCGATGAACGGGGCTTAAGTTCCGTGACAGTCTCCGCCTCCCACCGTCATCACCAGAATGGATCGCACGACAAATTCTGTGATTGTTGACATTTCTCAAATGTCAATGTAACTTCAATGGTTGACGTTGTTGTTTTCTGTTTTGGGTAACTTTTTCATTGACACCTCGATTCATTATCACTACTATATACTCATGTCGAATACTATGAGTTCGTCGATATCCATAAGCAATGCTGTACCACCGGTCACTGCCACTGGTATGGAGACGGTGGTTGCAATTGCGCTGGGTGCACTAGCTGCAGTCTTTCTTGGCGCACTCCTGGTACTGTTGGTTATTTGTCGCAGGCAACGTTGCTACTATGTGAGTTTGATGACTGAATCATATATTGCTAAACTGTTTTAGAGAGAAGTATATTGCAATAATTTTATTCATTTTTAGAATCAAAAGGACTCTGCAGAGTTAAGTTCCGATCTGCTTGAAGGAGAGAACATCACTGGTTTAGGTTTGGATGTATGGGAGAACGAAGAGTGGCTGGCAGGTGCTGAAAGGTACAAAGTTATAAACAATGAAGAAATATCATATTACAATAGTATGATCGATAGATAACATTATATTTAATTAGCTTATTTTTATTCAAGTTTGTGTATTAGGTTTCTGACATCTTAATAAAATTAAGCTAATTTAAGCTATAAAATTTATCAAGTTAGATTGTTTACATTTCTTATTTTCTTATTGTATTGATTAATTTGTAAAAATTTAAATATTACACATAGTTTATTAGAAGATAATATTGTTGCACTTTAGATGGGTAGATGATGCTACTGGCTTGGCTCCACCTTGCATAGCAGTGCTTCGATCTTGTCATGCTCTTGCAGCCAGTCTCACTACTATTGCTGGAACTGTTAATAGCAACACTGTCCCATTGGAAATAGTAGATGTATGTGCAAGCATTGTGTGTTATTTTTCTATGTCATTTTTACCCAAATTATTGCAATTTATTCTTGGTCAGGTTGCCCGACGTATACCGCCTCGCGTGGACGATGTTGTTCGCAGTCTGTATCCACCATTAGATGCCAGGTTATTAGAGGCCAGAGTGGCAGCTCTGGTATTGGCTGTGACTCACTTAGCGTTAGTAACCAAGCATGGCGTGCCAAAGAGTCAAGCTAGGAAATTGGCATTCATCGATCAAGCCTTGAACGACATGGACACACATCTGTTAGTCTTGAGAAATGCGGCATTAGCTCAGGAAGTTGCCTGCTCCATTCCAGCATCCACGCCAGTTTGAACGTACATCTTCTTCATAGTCGGACCGAATCTCTCTCTTTTATAGTATTTGTTATTTCCAGTTTTCTATCTCTTTTTTAGATATCTATTTTTATCTTTCCTTGGCTTTGGGTTTATTGCCGTCGTTATGCGGCAATGAAAGTTATACATATTTCAATTGCTAGAGTCACAAATATAGCGTATACATTAAAGGAATATAGAAACTTTTTAGGCGACAAATACATAAATATAGATCATTGTTGACCTCAAGGTACAAAATTCAAAATGAACAAAAGTTCATGTTTACTGATGAAAATTCATCAATGCTTTATCGAAAGTATCGCATAAAGAATATATTTTAATATCGTTAAAATCGCGATTCACTAAGAATCGATATTTTGCAATACACAGAAATATATGTGGAAACAAAGAGTATGTCTTCCATATATTATATTATTATAGTATTTATATATGTATACACAGAAAAATGTATTTTAGGACTATATAATTGATCATATCTGCATATGTTTGTACATGTTACATGATATTTTATATTCTTGAAGAGAATCAAATTATTTTATAGACTGATAGAAATTTTTAATAAAGAATTTAACCATAAGAGAAATCATTGGTTTCTTTCGCCCTTTTTTTCTACTTTCAATTATTGTTTTAACGATATAATATTTATTACGTTAATCAGCCAGTAATTTATTTAGATTTAATTTGCAATATACATGGAGATTTTCGATTTCTAGATTTCTAGTATGTCGCGAATAATGTACCACATCCGTTTGTGGGTTGTCAAATGGAGAACCTACAATTTCGACTTAATACTTAATAATAAATTAACTAAGTGATTCGACAGATTATCACTGGAACATTAGCGTATACTCAGTGATATATTACGATTCTCCAAAAAAATTTCTATAAATAGAGGCGTAGTGCATTGGAAAAAGAGAGAAATATGACAAATCGTGCAATCTCCTATTATTTGCCCCGATTCGCCAAGTCCTTTTGTCTCTTTTGATTATCTGATAGGACTTTGTCTTTGAGGTGTTCTTTGTAATCCAAAATATTGCCACTCCATTTTGTAACTGTGCCATTTTCACACACCCAAATTTCTTCAGCAACCTACACATCGAGCATAGAAAATATACATCGAATTAAAATAAAGTTATAAAAAAGTATACATACTTGATTAATCAATCTGAAGTCATGTGAGACGAGGACCATGCCGCCGTCAAAGTCGTTAATAGCGTCAGCAAGCGCATCGATTGTTTCCATGTCCAAGTGATTAGTAGGCTCATCGAGTAGCAATAGATGAGGTACTTGCCAAGCCAACCAGGCGAATACGACTCGACAACGTTGACCGTCGGACAGTTGGCGAATAGGACAAATCTGAAAGAAATAAAATATATGTTCGAAAATGCTCTTCATAAAGCATTTTAATAAATTTTGATGTACCTGTTGACGTCCGGTGAGACCATAGCGACCAATAATTTTTCTCATCTCTTCGCGTTCTTTGACTTCGGGGAAAGCCTTCATCATGTAATCAAGAGGTGACACATCCAAGTCTAACAATTCATGCAAATGTTGGTGATATCTGCCAATTCGGAGATGACTGTTTTTACGAATCATTCCGCTTGTTGGCACTAACTGTAACGTGACATTATTTTGTCAAGAAAAAAAGTATCGAGTGTCAAAGTATTAATAAACAGAATGTGCATTTGGTACATACATCGCCGTACAACAACTTCAACAGAGTACTTTTTCCTGCTCCGTTTGGTCCAACCAATGCGAGTCTAGTATCCAAATCGATTCCAAATTCTAAATTTTTGTAAATCCAAGGCGCATCCTCGTTGTAACGGAAACTGACATTCTGAACCATAATAACCGGCGGCGGAATAGTTCCACACGAAGGAAAGTAAAAGTTTAACACTTTATCATTGATAACTTTCTCCGTCAGACCTTGAGCCACCATTTTTGCTAGAGTCTTTTCTTTCGATTGGGCTTGTCGGGCTAATTTTGCAGAACCATGACCAAACCGTGCAATATAGTTTTTCATATGCGCAATCTGATCTTGTTCCCAGTTATATTGCTTTGCTTGATTTTCAAGTAATTCCATTCTAAAGGAAAATATTAATGTAATTAAAAAATCAGTGACCTCATAAGATATAGGAGAATTTTCTTGTAGCTTACCTTGTTTTAACAAATGCCTCATAATTACCAGTGTAATATTTTAATTGCTTTTTATTCACATGAATAATATTGGTGCAAATTCCATTGAGGAAATCTTGAGAATGAGAGATTATAACCAGAATTCGTTTATAAGTTTTAAGTTCTTCCTCCAGCCATACACAAGCATCCAGATCAAGATGATTGGTTGGTTCGTCGAGTAACAAGAGATGCGGTTTTACATAAAGCGCTCTGTAAAAGAAATGTCAAAATATTTCTCTATATCTGATAATGTACTGCATATATATATAACTGATGTTTTCACATTATATATATATGTAACTGATATTATATATATGTATATAGTTTTTTTATATACCTAGCAAGAGCTATACGCATTCTCCAACCTCCTGAGAAATCTTTGGTAGGCGTTTTTTGCATTTTCGCAGTAAAACCCAAACCATGTAAAATATGGGCAGCACGAGCTTCCGCCGTGTCGGCAGCCATATCCTCTAATCTCTCATATACATCCATGAGTTGTTCCTATATTTTGTGTAAAAAAAAAAAGGAATTTTTTATAAAAGTTTCAATTGTGGTAAACATCAATGTAAAAAATTGGTAACAAACCTGAGCATCTTCTTCGTCGCAATCTATTAACTCTTCGGCAAGCTTTTCTAATCGTATACGCTCTTCATCAACCTCCATCACACACTCCAGAGCAGTTTTATTGCTCGCAGGCATTTCTCTAGTCAAATGAAAAATATCTATTTGCTGAGGAATAGGAACTTCTCGGTTTCCTAGTACTGCTAACAATGTAGACTTTCCAGAACCATTTAGACCTAATAAACCATAACGTCTGCCGCAATTCAATTCCAACATGGTGTCTTGCAGCAGTTCACAGCCATGGAAAGTAATAGAAAAATTAGATATCTTTATATCTCGGCTACGTGGATGCGAAGCCAATGATCCAGTACACGAACGTGCTTCTGCATTGAGTCTGGCATCTGCCTCCAATTTCAAACATAATGCCTCTGCAAACGTGTTATGCAAACATGTTATACAAAATAAATATTTGATGAAATAAGTGTAGGTAATTGCAAATAATTTTAAAGATAACTATTTTAGAGTTATTTAGAGCCATATAGTAGTTTTATATAAAGAAATCAACTATAAGTTTGAAATAATATAATAAAGTGTATCATAACAAATAATATAAATAATATAAAATAATTATAAATATTAAATATCAAGGTAAAATCATATTAAAATATATGCAACTTTTAAAAATTGAATTATCCTTCATAAATTATTTCAAATTTATTCATCTTGCTATATGTATAACAGAATTTTGAATAAGTTTCAAACCAAAGGCATCAAAATTATTCTTGATTATGGCTGCGATCGGAAAGATGCTCTGGATGCTTTGAAACATCATTCTATCTTTGTTCTACATTCCACGAGAATAAAGATAGAATGACATTTCGGAGCATTCATAGTGCAGTCTTGATCGCAGCCTATAACTTATAAGCGTCCGATTAAATATAAATTTTGTAAATATTTACAAAAGCAAGACTATATATCTTTACAAGAATATTTACAAATAACACATTAAAATAGTTTAATTTCTCAAATTAAATTTTCCTCATTGTATTAATAATATTTAAAAAATTATTCAAAAATAACTAAAAAATGAAGCACGAGATCAGGAGATCATGAAATCACATTGAAATTATCTAAAAAAAAAGGAGAAAAAAAACATTATTTAATTCCTCATGTACCTTCGGTGCTGATAGCCGTGCCGTTGGTTCCATTCTGCAAATCTCCCAACGACGGGCTCTGTTCCTTGCTATCGTCGGTGGTTTTCGTCTGATTGCTCTGCGGCGGTTTCTTTCCGGACTGCCTCGCCTTCGCGGCCTCCTTCTTCTTCTGCTGCTGTTTCTTCTTCGCGTCGGACGGCATTGCCTCCCTCTTTCACCTGCAATTTTAGTTCGTTAAGAGCGAAAAAACTCGGTGGGACAGCTGTGGATCGGCGGTCGCGGCGTTTTTTCGTCGCGTTACGTAAGACGTAGGTTAGGCGCATTTTCCGGGGCACGTGTCGAAAGGAAACACACACACCGCAGACGGACGCGAAAATATTCGGCGTTGCCGTAAACGGTCACGACAGGGCTCGAGCGGCGAGCCGTTACGAGAGGGCTTGAAAAACTCACCTGCAATGGACAAAGGAGACCCGATATCGCCCGTAAATCCGTCGCGAACGCTCGTGAAAACGAAACGCCTCGAAAATGATCACGCCTACGATTTTCCTCGGCGATTCTGATCGCGCGAAACACCCCCGAATGTTGCCTAATTGTGCGCCAAAAGTCAGACGTGTCGCGCGACAGGCGAACACACGTGCATCGAATGATGGAGGCAAACCGTCAAAGCGACATCGTGCATCCTGCGTCGACGCACAGATGGCGCCACACGTTGGACGTCAGAGTTTGCCACGTCAGCACAGATGGCGCCACGTGTATCGTTTGCCAACGAACGGATCCGAGATCTGCTTCGCCCCTTTGCTAGATAGTAATTAATTAAAGATCCAGCATATCATGTATGTATTAAATATGGTAATGTAACAAAAATTTATTATACATTTTAGTCATCTTTTAGCAATTATTATAACTAGAAAGCGTTTTATCAAAATGAGTATGGAAACGATAACAGAAGAAAATATAATTACACGAAAGAAAGAAACAGGAAGATATTTTGCATATCTCTACGTGAAAAAAATATTATATAATAAATTTTATGAAATTAGAAGAGAATATTAAGTTAAAATGTCTTTACATATTTAATATGTATCTAGCATCTATTGTTAAATTTTGCTTCTAAATACTTCCAAAAACGTGGAAATTAACATTGTTTTTCTTACAATTTTT